GAATCATTTCTATTAAACCCGGAGTTTACATGGGGAGAGTTTTCCCGGGGGTTTAACGCCCCCGCGGCCCCGGGCCCGTGACCAGGGCCCCCTTTGGGGATCAGAGGGCCCGATCAATCAGGCCCCCTCCCGCGGGTGCACACAAACCAAAAGTACGACCCCCAAACCCGGCTGATCAGGAGCCACTTTAGGTGCTTGTCCCGTGCCAGCTTTTAAGACTGGCCCGGGGGCTGGTTTGGGAATCCCCCTTATGTTGCTGGGGGGCAGTTAACAAACTCGGCCCCGACACTTAAAAGTATGGGCTCTTAAGGCTATTTACACCCCTCTTTCATTGGGGGGGTCTGCAACGTCTGCCAAGTCTTTTTCTTTTGTAGTTAGTGATTTTCGTGTTTCAAGTTTTGGGAAAAAGTCCCCTAGGGTTTTCCCGGTTTTAATAATCATTATCCCCCTCCTGCTTTTCCCGGAATACAGGTTCAGGAACCTCAACGCTCCCATAATTTTAAAAGGGGTTTTTTTCTCCGTTATGCGCGCCGTGAAGGTTCTCGTACATTTTCTAGGTCGCAATTTCACCTGCCTTGAAAGGTGCTGTTAGTGTGCAGAAAATTCCCCGCCTAGATAGAACAAATGACCTGAAGAGTGCATCATGGGCTTGGCCCCCCTAGTTTTTTTAAGGGTTTTCATTATCCATCCTGTCATTTTTTTACAGATGGATTTAACAAAAGTTATTTTCCTTGAAGGGAGATTTCCCCGACATGATCAAATCCCAGGTCTTTGACTTTGGGGGAAAGCTCTAAAATTTTTTGGGCCCGAATTTGTTTTGTACTCTGATGAAGATTTAATTTTAAAACATCAAAAACCCAAATTTTAAAACATCAGTATTCCCCAGTTTTTTTGATTCATTAATTCCAAACATTTAAATTTATGCTTTTGTTTCATGCCCCTTTTCCCAGCTTTCAGTGAAGCTTTTTTTTTCCCTATATTCCATATGTTTGGGCTTCTATTTTTAAAATTTCCCCAAATTTTAGCCATTTATGCAATGTATTAAATTCAACTTAATAACACTGTTTTGTACTAAATTAAAGTACTTTATAAAGGGAAATAGTACAACTTCCTTTTAAAAAAATCCTACTACCTGAGCTTTTGCAAATTTCATGGGATAACAAAATTTTAAATGTAAAATTAAACAAACTTTTCATCAAAATTTTAAAATTATACAAAAAAATAAATCCTTGCCAAATTTGGCAAGCAAAATTAATTTCACATTAATAATTACTACCAAGGGGTTTTTCAATTAAAACATACACTGATATAAATCTTGGCCAAAAATTGGCCCTTTTTCAAATAAAAATAATACAAAAATAAATCCTTGCCCCGAATTTTGGGATAGCAAAATTTAAAATTAAAACCAAAAACCCCTAATTCTTTATCCACATTTGTCTTTTTGAATTAACCATACACGATATAAAACTTGGCGAGAAAAAATCTTTTCAAATTAGTATTCTACAAAATATAAACTTAGCCAGACTTGAGCTTAGCTTTTTCAAAAATTTAAAATTGTAATAATTTTAATCCACTACACATTAAGTAAATCTGTGAACTTAACATCCACCTCCTGTCATTTCACATATAATTATTAAATAATTAACTAATTAATGACTTCACTAATTACCTCCGGTTCAAGAGTTTACCTGGAGTTTACCTGGAGAGAGTTTCGGGGGTCAACGCCCCCGCGGCCCGGTCTGTGACCAGGCCTCCTGGTGGATCAGCGCCTGATCAACCAGGCTGTTGCTGCTGGCTGCACGCAAACCAACGTACGAGCCACAGCCCGGCTGATCAGGAACTGACTTTAGGTGCTTGTCCAGTGCCAGCTTGAAGACTGCCAGGGGTCTGTTGGTAATCCCCCTTATGTGTGCTGGGAGGCAGTTGAACAGTCTCGGGCCCCTGACACTTATTGTATGGTCTCTTAACGTGCTGGTGACACCCCTGCTTTTCATTGGGGGGATGGTGCATCGTCTGCCAAGTCTTTTGCTTTCGTAGTGAGTGATTTTCGTGTGCAAGTTCGGTACTAGTCCCTCTAGGATTTTCCAGGTGTATATAATCGTGTATCTCTCCCTCCTGCGTTCCAGGGAATACAGGTTTAGAAACCTCAAGCGCTCCCAGTAATTGAGGTGTTTTATCTCCGTTATGCGTGCCGTGAAAGTTCTCTGTACATTTTCTAGGTCGGCAATTTCACCTGCCTTGAAAGGTGCTGTTAGAGTGCAGCAATATTCCAGCCTAGATAGAACAAGTGACCTGAAGAGTGTCATCATGGGCTTGGCCTCCCTAGTTTTGAAGGTTCTCATTATCCATCCTGTCATTTTTCTAGCAGCTGCGATTGATACAATGTTATGGTCCTTGAAGGTGAGATCCTCCGACATAATCACTCCCAGGTCTTTGACGTTGGTGTTTTCGCTCTATTTTGTGGCCAGAATTTGTTTTGTACTCTGATGAAGATTTAATTTCCTCATGTTTACCATATCTGAGTAATTGAAATTTCTCATCGTTGAACTTCATATTGTTTTTCTGCAGCCCACTGAAAGATTTGGTTGATGTCCGCCTGGAGCCTTGCAGTGTCTGCAATGGAAGACACTGTCATGCAGATTCGGGTGTCATCTGCAAAGGAAGACACGGTGCTGTGGCTGACATCCTTGTCTATGTCGGATATGAGGATGAGGAACAAGATGGGAGCTAGTACTGTGCCTTGTGGAACAGAGCTTTTCACCGTAGCTGCCTCGGACTTTACTCTGTTGACGACTACTCTCTGTGTTCTGTTACTGAGGAAATTATAGATCCATCGACCGACTTTTCCTGTTATTCCTTTAGCGTGCATTTTGTGCGCTATTACGCCATGGTCACACTTGTCGAAGGCTTTTGCAAAGTCTGTATATATTACATCTGCATTCTTTTTGTCTTCTAGTGCATTTAGGACCTTGTCGTAGTGATCCAGTAGTTGAGACAGACAGGAGCGACCTGTTCTAAACCCATGTTGCCCTGGGTTGTGTAACTGATGGGTTTCTAGATGGGTGGTGATCTTGCTTCTTAGGACCCTTTCAAAGATTTTTATGACCAACGGGCAATTTAAATTTGGAAAATTGCATTTATCTGAATGTAACTAATTATGTTCATAACAGTAAACGATAACAAAGATAATTATTATTTATCAATGTTACGTAGACATGTAGGAATTTGGGACACTTAGGTCGCAAAAAATGTCCCCCTTCGATACCTACCACTGTCATATCCACAAGTTGCTCTGGACCTATTAATTAAATGAAATATACATACACCAGGAATACTGGTAAATATATAAATTTGTGGACTGTATATTAAAAATAATAAATGCTTATATATATACACAATTACATAACAGAAGGAAAATATATCTTAATATCACTCACCAATTTGACTGGAGATTAATGTGTATCATACTCAGAAAACCTCACTCTAACTAAATCTATGAAAATAATGCTGGCCAGAATTACACACAAATCTAGAGAGCTTATCTGAGGTTCCTGGAGCTGTCTTGTCCAGTCGTCTGATATCTCAAGTTATGCAGGAATGCACATCCACCAATTTCGCCTCCTATTTGAGAGGTGCCAACACAATTTTAACCTCTTGAGCACGAAAAATTCTTCCCTTTACACCAACGTTTGTACAAAATTCAAAACCAAGATGGCGAGTCTCCTGCCCAGACGCAGGCTTTATTTATTTATTTATTTATTTATTTATTTATTTAGAAATTTTAGCATACATACAGAGGTACAAAAAAAATACAGGTAAGAGCAGCATGCCAAAGCCACTTATATGCATAGCATTATGGGCTGGCTTAAAATTAACTTAAGATTAACTAAGCAATGATGAAATCAGTGATAAAACATTATTGTAAACAGATAACTATAAAGCACAAATGAGTATTACAAAGACAGGTCATATGGTTGCATGCATTGCTGTACATTCAGTCGAATGGAGTATTCTGTTAGGTAGTGTATTTAAAAAAATAACAAAGTTAGATTGGGTCCTAGGTTTAACATTTGTGTGATATAATTGTGAGTAACATTTTGGATATACAATTTATAAGGTTCAGGTATTCAGTATTTATTTGGTTTTGGGTGAGTAAGTGATTTTTGAGAAGAGACTTGAATTTATAAACAGTTAGTGTTTCTTTTATATTTACAGGTAATGAATTCCAGATTTTAGGGCCTTTTATGTGAATTGAGTTTTTGCATAGCGTGAGATGGACACGAGGAACATCAAAGAGTGATCTGTGCCTTGTGTTATGGTCATGGCTTTCCGTTTTCTATGACAAATATTATTAAATACAGTATAGGCCATCTATTTACCTATAAATTACCGTATTTCCGGAAAATATATACAGTATTTTCCACAGCCACTGTGTGGCGAAACGTTTCCTGAATAAAGGTTCCCATATATTTGGGAAGCCGGTTACTGAACTTAGGAGTGGGGGAGGGATTGTTGATGTGCCACTCTGCTTGGGCTTGGTAATGAAAATGAAAGTGGAATGAAAATATTTATTTTTTTGGAAAGCTTACGATGTGTGGTTTACATATTATAAAATATTAATTATATGGAAGGCCACTAGCATGCCTAGGCATTTCGGGGAGATTAATACTAAGTCTTACTATAAACTGACACAAGTTATGGGGGGGTCCACCTGATCTAATTGGGAACTTTTAGTTCCTGTTTCTATTTACAAAGAAACTCTTGTTCCTGTTTTTTTCTTACATGGCCCAGTTTTGTGGTAGATATCTTCCCTGTACCTGGGGAAGCCGGGCTGGATGCAACGTAAGCTGTCAGTGGCCCTGATAAACCCAACACACAAGATAAGTACAGAAAAAAACCATACCCCCGGCCGGGATTGAACCCGCGGTCATAGACTCTATGACCGCGGGTTCAATCCCGGCCGGGGGTATGGTTTATTTGCAATCGTGTCATTACGATTTCTTAAGTCATAAGTACAGAACTTTGAAGGATCTTTGGTTTAGGAGGGAGGAATGGTGCTTTTCTACGCCAGCCTTCGTTGGGTGTGGACATCTCTCTCTCGTCTCAGTGACAAATTTCCACTGTTCTCTCTGGGATGCTTGTCCTCATCTACTTTGCCCGCCGGGCACTCTACAGGAGGGGCACCTGTACATCGGCTTGCAGTAGTCAGCTCCATTTGTTCCGCTCTGCGACAAATTCTTTAACGGTCTTTGGTGGGAAGCCGGTTACTGAACTCTGCTGGGGCTTGGCAAGGGCGTCCACCAGATCTAATTGGAAACTTCAAGTTTCTATCTCTATTTACAAAGTAACTTTTGTTCCTTTTCTCTCATCGTCCAGCCTTGGGCAGTTTTTCCTCGTACCATCGAGAAACCGGGCTGGATACGGTGTATGGTGTCAGTGGCACTGATAAACCCAACAAAGACAGCAAGAAAGAATGGATGGCACTATTTGTTGATTACTTTATATCCGTCTTAGTAGGGTAGGTAACCTAAACTAATAACTGAAAAGACCAGGGTTCAGTTCTCGCGTAGGGGGAGATACTGTAGCATTTTTTGGTTAACTACCCAGGATAACTCAGTAACTTGTAGTGTGTTGTCAGGGATTGTCTCTTATTTTCATTGTGGTCCTTTAATCGTTTCACCCCAGGATGCCACCCACAACAGTCTACTAACAAGCAGGTACCTACTTGCTAGATGAACAGGGACAGCAGGTGTAAGGAAGCATGTCTAACGTTTCACTATGTGCTAAGTAAGTTTATTCAGGTATACACATATATAGTTACATAGAGTATCATACAGCAGCATATGTGTAGTGATTGATCTCTGACACATGGCGTGTGAGATGAGGATACCTGGAGTTTACCTGGAGAGAGTTCCAGGGGTCAACGCCCCCGCAGCCCGGTCTGTGACCAGGCCTCCTGGTGGATCAGAGCCTGATCAACCAGGCTGTTACTGCTGGCTGCACGCAAACCAACGTACGAGCCACAGCCCGGCTGGTCAGGTACCGACTTTAGGTGCTTGTCCATTGCCAGCTTGAAGACTGCCAGGGGTCTATTGGTAATCCCCCTTATGTATGCTGGGAGGCAGTTGAACAGTCTCGGGCCCCTGACACTTATTGTATTGTCTCTTAACGTGCTAGTGACACCCCTGCTTTTCATTGGGGGGATGTTGCATCGTCTGCCAAGTCTTTTGCTTTCGTTGTCAGTGATTTTCGTGTGCAAGTTCAGTACTAGTCCCTCTAGGGTGGCCCGGTGGCCTGGTGGCTAAAGCTCCCGCTTCACACACGGAGGGCCCGGGTTCGATTCCCGGCGGGTGGAAACATTTCGACACGTTTCCTTACACCTGTTGTCCTGTTCACCTAGCAGCAAATAGGTACCTGGGTGTTAGTCGACTGGTGTGGGTCGCATCCTGGGGGACAAGATTAAGGACCCCAATGGAAATAAGTTAGACAGTCCTCGATGACGCACTGACTTTCTTGGGTTATCCTGGGTGGCTAACCCTCCGGGGTTAAAAATCCGAACGAAATCTTATCTTATCTTATCTTATTATTTTCCAGGTGTATATAATCATATATCATTTCCACCTGCGTTCCAGGGAATACAGGTTCAGGAACTTCAAGCGCTCCCAGTAATTGAGGTGTTTTATCTCCGTTATGCGCGCTGTGAAGGTTCTCTACATTTTCTAGGTCAGCAATTTCACCTGCCTTGAAAGGTGCTGTTAGTGTGCAGCAATATTCCAGCCTAGATAGAACAAGCGACCTGAAGATAAAGATTTATTTCTTCACAAATTTTACAATGTGTAATTACAATTTTGGTTTGCTAAGTACAAAGAAAGCCACTATCATGCTGGGGCATTTTGGACAGACTAATCCTAGTACATAGTAACTACTTAAAACTAGACAAGATAATAGTTATTGACTTGATTAAAATCTTATTTGATCTTAATACTAATGCGAGGTGGTCAAGGTGGAGGTTTATAAGAATAATAATCTTGTAGTTGCACATAATAATAATTATAATAATAGTATATGTTTATTTACTACATGTACAAGGTATACAGACCATAGCTGACATCAATGACATACTACTGTATAGAAGGCACTTGTTATGCTGAGCATTTCAGGCAAATTAAGTCAGTTTTGTCCCAGGATGTGACCCACACCAGTTGACCAACACCCAGGTACCTATTTTACTGATGATTGAACATAAACAACCGTTGTAATGAAACATGCCCAATGTTTTTACCTTTGTTGGGAATGAACCCAGACACCTTGCTGTGTGAAATGAGAGCTTTAGCCTGCAGGCCATGGGGCACAATATTACAATTAATGGTTCAGGAAATACTATTTCATATATTGGCAGTTTAATAGCCTAGAGGTCACATAATATAACTAATTAGAAGTTGTTTTGGTTGATTAGGTTAGCACAGTATTGAGAGATAAGATGATTTTTTACGAAAGTCCTAAATTTATAGGTAGTCAGAGGATCCTTTACTGGTTGCTACCAATCAAGCCACAAGCCCCTCTCCTTGGATCGAACCTAATTACCTCCCATTCCATTAAATATAATGATACTTGTTCACTGGATCACGTTATGCTGGGGAGATAAGATTTTGTTCAGATTTTTAACTTGGATTGATAGCCACACAGGATAGCCCAATTAAGTCTGTCATTGGTGACTGGGTCTTATTAACAGGTATCTGCAGTGCTTGTCATTAAAATTTGTCATTTAAGTATGCTGGCCCTGTCTAAAATCAGGACCACAAAATAGGTCATCCTCTGCACTTTAGGACTGCACAGTATACAGTACTGTAATTGGGGATGTGCCAAGTTATTGATATTGGTATTAGTATCAATGGGTATTGTCTAATTTTGCTGGTACTGACATTGGTATTAGCCTAAAACAGAATATCGATATTGGCAAAAATTTTGACATTGTTCCATCCCTAATTGTAATAACCTTCAGTTACCAATTAAATAATTTACTGTGCCTCATTTTGCAGATGCTTTTTATATACAGTATGTAATCCTGTCTTTTAGGCTTTGATACAGTGCACTGTGTATGTATTAAACATAGCTATTTGTCTCTTTCCAGGTGGTGAAGGAAGAGTTTACCTCCAGGTAAACTCCAGATATTGAATCTGTGGTTATATATCAGACATGATGATGAGGCAGTCACCTTGTTTTGTGAATGACAGTGAAATAAAGGAACATGAAATAAATGGTATGAACCATTGCAAAAAGATGACTGATAAACCTGTTGCCACAAAGACTGTAAAATGTATAAAACCACATCAAGTGGATAGTTACAAGAAAGATGAAGTAGACAGCCTAGAAAGTGGTCAAAATGAACCATGTAATAGAGCATGCAGTGATAATAAAGGTAGTCTCACTCTACATGTGTGCACATATGAAGATTGTGATAAGGTTTTTAGTAGACCCAGTCGTCTTACTCAGCACTTAAGAACACACACTGGTGAGGTGAGTACCCTAAAAGTTGGGTTCAATTTGTGTAGGTATATATTTACCAGTGTGCAAATACCATTCTCATTCAACTTTTTTAGATGTGTATTAGATTTTTTTTTTCAGGAAACTGTCTTGACATTTGAATGGTGTGATAGAGGGCATGGTAGGTAAGTTTGGGTTGCCAGGGGTAAATGATAATGGGGGGCTTTCAGAACAAGGGAAATAATGCTGATGGTGACTCTCTTCAAATCACTAGTGCTCCCTCACTTAGAATATTGCTCAGTGCTGACGGCCTCATTCAAAGCAGGAGAAATATCGGAGCTGGAACAAATACAAATACAGAGATTGTTTACAGCTCACATTGAGCCTGTAAAGCACCTAAACTACTGGGAACGCCTGCAAGTCTTGATCATGTATTCATTGGAGCGGAGGAGAGAGAAATATATACACGATAATATATACCTGGAAAATACTCGAGGGCTTGGTCCCAAATCTGCAGACTGCCACAGCAACATACTGGAGTGAGAGATATGGGAGGAAGTGTAAAATGAACCTAGTGAGGAGCAGGGGTGCGGTGGGGACAATAAGGGAACACTGTATTAACATCTGGGGTCCCAGACTATTCAACATCTTACCAGAAGATATCAGAAACACTGCTGGAACAAGTGTAGAAGCCTTCAAGAGGAAACTGGACAAGTATCTTCATCAGGTTCCAGATCAACCAGGCTGTGATGGATATGTGGGGCAGCAGGACTCCAGCAGCAACAGCCTGGTTGACCAGGCAAGCACCAGATGAACCTGGCCCATGGCCGGGCTCATAAAATAGATTAACTCTCGAAACTCTTCAAAAGTATATCAAAGGTAAGGCCTTTGATTGAACTTTGTATAGCAAAAGGATTGGTAATAAGTAATATGTACACATTTTAAGAAAAAAAAAGGTAAATTAGTATATGAGTTATGATATAGGGTGTAATGACAGTAGTTTGTTGGACTATGTATTAGTGGATAAAAGGTTGTTGGGTAGACTTCAGGATGTGTATGTTTATAGAGGGGCAACAGATATATCAAATCATTTTTTAGTTTTATCTACAATGAGAGTAAAAGGTAGATGGGTACAAGGAGAATGGTTTCAGAAAGTAAGAGATGGAGGTTTATAAACTAAAGGAGGCAGTTAGGATAAGATATAAGCAACTATTGGTAGAAAGATGGAAAGTGAGAGTATAGGCAGTGAAGCTGAAGAGTTATTGGGTAGATTTAAGACTGCAGTATTAGTGTTCAGCAGAAGTTTGTGGATATAGGAAGGTGAGTGCGGGAGGGAAGAGAAGCGATTGGGGGAATGATGAGGTAGAGAGAGTAGTAAGAAAGAGAATATGAGAGGGTTTTACAAAGTGGAAGTGAAATGAGGAAGGAGGAGTATATGGAGAGAAAAAGAGAGGTTAAGAGAGTGGTGGAGGAATGTTGAAGGAGAGCAAATAAGAGAATTAGTGAGATGCTGTCAATAAATTTTGCTAAGAATAAGTTTTGGAGTGAGATTAATAAGGTGAGAAAACCTAGGGAATGAATGGATTTGACAGGTAAAAACAGAAGAGGAGAGTTATTAGATGGAGAGTTGGAGGTATCGGGAAGGTGGAGGGAATATTTTGGGGAACTGTTAAATGTTGATGAAGATAGGGAAGCTGTGATTTCGTGCATTGGCCAAGGGGGTATAACATCTTTTAGGAGTGAGGAAGAACCAGATGTGAGTGTCAGGGTGGTACGTGAAGTTGTGGGTAAAATGAAAAGACAAAGACAGAAGATTTATTTTGGCATGATACAATGTTTGTACAGAGAAGTGTGACACTTTGTTGTGCATACAGAAAGCCCATAGTTATGCAGAGCATTTTGGGCATACTATGTGGGGTTCACTACTATCTGTGGTTTTGGGTATCCAAGGTAGGTCATGGAAATTATCCCCCTTGGATATGGGGGGACTACTGTAATAATTATAAAAATCCCAGAGATGAATAATCAACATAGGTGAATTTAGAATGTATAACTAATTTGTAGGGAGCACTGTACTCTATATTTGTGTTCTTGCAGAGGCCATATGTGTGCCCCTCTGCTGGGTGCTCTCGATCATACACTCGACAACAACATCTCAAGAGGCACATAGAAACTGGACACCAGGACAAGTCTGAAGAAAAGTTAAAGTAAGTTGATTAGGGTCTTATGCATTTGGTGCATAAGAGCTTTTATTGTAGTATTTTTTCAATAATTTTACTATGTGTTCTTGTGATAACATTTCATTTCTAGTTACTTTATTGAATCATAATTTTATGAAGTTTTAGTATTTGTGTGTACAGCCACCAGAATTAGTTTACTTTCTTACATAACCACTTAAACAAGAAAATGGGCCTGCTAAATGATACATAAGTTAAACCAGAGTTGTCAGAGAATAATGAGTTTTTAAAAAGAACCTTGATCACTTATGAATAAACTTGTATCTCTCTTATCTGAGTAAGGTCAACCAAATACTGTCATAAAGTAAATCCCTGTTGATGCAATGTCAACGGGAACTCCAGAAACACTTTACATGTATGTACTTCCCTGGTTGAGTGCTGAGGGTGAACTAACTAGAGAGGTTTGCCTGTGTTCCAGGTCACTTCTGGCTCTTAGCCATATAGATGTAAGCCTATGATCAAGCCTAATAATTAAAAGATATATAGTACACTGTGGCCATCACTAATCTGGCATCATTGGGACCTGTAGTGTGCTGGATTAGCGAGTTTGCTGGATTACAGAGTGGTTAGGTTAGAATACACTTAATTAACCTATCAATAGAGACTTTCTGCTACATCTTTCTCATTTTCATTACTGCTTTCTCCTCCACTGGCTTGCTGCTGTGGATTTGCAACATCTGCACAATTTCTGAGGCAGTATAATGATGAAATTTGAAATTATGCTAGCCGAAATTAGTGCCGGATTACTGATGGAACCAGATAACTGATTGCTGGATTAGTGATGGCACCTAATCTTTTTGTTATCCTCATAACCTTACTCTTTCCTGTATTCACCTTTAATTTTCTTCTTTTGCACACCCTACCAAATTCATCCACCAATCTCTGCAACTTCTCTTCATAATCTCCCAAGAGCACAGTGTCATCAGCAAAGAGCAGCTGTGACAACTCCCACTTTGTGTGTGATTCTTTATCTTTTAACTCCATGCCTCTTGCCAAGACCCTCACCTTTACTTCTCTTACAACCCCATCTATAAATATATTAAACAACCACGGAGACATCACACATCCTTGTCTAAGGCCTACTTTTACTGGGAAATAATTTCCCTCTTTCCTACATACTCTAACTTGAGTCTCACTATCCTCGTAAAAACTCTTCACTGCTTTCAGTAACCTACCTCCTACACCATACACCTGCAACATCTGCCACATTGCCCCCCTGTCCACCCTGTCATACGCCTTTTCCAAATCCATAAATGCCACAAAGACCTCTTTAGCCTTATCTAAATACTGTTCACTTATATGTTTCACTGTAAACACCTGGTCCACACACCCCCTACCTTTCCTAAAGCCTCCTTGTTCATCTGCTATCCTATTCTCCCTCTTACTCTTAATTCTTTCAATAATAACTCTACCATACACTTTACCAGGTATACTCAACAGATAAGACCAGGTATACTCAACAGACTTATCCCCCTATAATTTTTGCACTCTCTTTTATCCCCTTTGCCTTTATACAAAGGAACTATGCATGCTTTCTGCCAATCCCTAGGTACCTTACCCTCTTCCATACATTTATTAAATAATTGCACCAACCACTCCAAAACTATATCCCCACCTGCTTTTAACATTTCTATCTTTATCCCATCAATCCCGGCTGCCTTACCCCCTTTCATTTTACCTACTGCCTCATGAACTTCCCCCACACTCACAACTGGCTCTTCCTCACTCCTACAAGATGTTATTCCTCCTTGCCCTATACACGAAATCACAGCTTCCCTATCTTCATCAACATTTAACAATTCCTCAAAATATTCCCTCCATCTTCACAATACCTCTAACTCTCCATTTAATAACTCTCCTCTCCTATTTTTAACTGACAAATCCATTTGTTCTCTAGGCTTTCTTAACTTGTTAATCTCACTCCAAAACTTTTTCTTATTTTCAACAAAATTTGTTGATAACATCTCACCCACTCTCTCATTTGCTCTCTTTTTACATTGCTTCACCACTCTCTTAACCCCTCTCTTTTTCTCCATATACTCTTCCCTCCTTGCATCACTTCTACTTTGTAAAAACTTCTCATATGCTAACTTTTTCTCCTTTACTACTCTCTTTACATCATCATTCCACCAATCGCTCCTCTTCCCTCCCGCACCCACTTTCCTGTAACCACAAACTTCTGCTGAACACTCTAACACTACATTTTTAAACCTACCCCATACCTCTTCGACCCCATTGCCTATGCTCTCATTAGCCCATCTATCCTCCAATAGCTGTTTATATCTTACCCTAACTGCCTCCTCTTTTAGTTTATAAACCTTCACCTCTCTCTTCCCTGATGCTTATATTCTCCTTGTATCCCATCTACCTTTTACTCTCAGTGTAGCTACAACTAGAAAGTGATCTGATATATCTGTGGCCCCTCTATAAACATGTTCATCCTGAAGTCTACTCAACAGTCTTTTATCTACCAATACATAATCCAACAAACTACTGTCATTTTGCCCTACATCATATCTTGTATACTTATTTATCCTCTTTTTCTTAAAATATGTATTACCTATAACTAAACCCCTTTCTATACAAAGCTATGTAGTTATCCTAGGTAAATGGTCGTGTCCATCATTCCTTCCTTCCTGCATTAGTTTCCTACCTTCCTGCATTCCTTTCCTACCTTCCTGCATTCCTTTCCTACCTTCCTACCTTCCTGTATTCCTTTTCTACCTTCCTGCATTCCTTTCCTACCTTCCTGCATTCCTTTCCTACCTTCCTGCATTCCTTTCCTACCTTCCTGCAATCCTTTCCTACCTACCTTCCTGCAATCCTTTCCTACCTACCTTCCTGCATTCCTTTCCTACCTTCCTTCCTACATTCCTTCGTCTTTCCTTACATTTTTCCTTCCTTTCATCTCGTCTTTCCTTCATTCCTGCCTTCCATTCTTCCTTCTGGTTTCTATAATATATTTTTTTTATTTATTATGACACTGGCCGATTTCCACCAAGGCAGGGTGGCCCGAAAAAGAAAAACTTTCACCATCATTCACTCCATCACTGTCTTGCCAGAAGGGTGCTTTACACTACAGTTTTTAAACTGCAACATTAACACCCCTCCTTCAGAGTGCAGGCACTGTACTTCCCATCTCCAGGACTCAAGTCCGGCCTGCTGGTTTCCCTGAACCCCTTCATAAATGTTACTTTGCTCACACTCCAACAGCACGTCAAGTATTAAAAACCATTCGTCTCCATTCACTCCTATCAAACACGCTCACGCACGCCTGCTGGAAGTCCAAGCCCCTCGCACACAAAACCTCCTTTACCCCCTCCCTCCAACCTTTCTTAGGCCGACCCCTACCCCGCCTTCCTTCCACTACAGACTGATACACTCTTGAAGTCATTCTGTTTCGCTCCATTCTCTCTACATGTCCGAACCACCTCAACAACCCTTCCTCAGCCCTCTGGACAACAGTTTTGGTAATCCCGCACCTCCTCCTAACTTCCAAACTACGAATTCTCTGCATTATATTCACACCACACATTGCCCTCAGACATGACATCTCCACTGCCTCCAGCCTTCTCCTCGCTGCAACATTCATCACCCATGCTTCACACCCATATAAGAGTGTTGGTAAAACTATACTCTCATACATTCCCCTCTTTGCCTCCAAGGACAAAGTTCTTTGTCTCCACAGACTCCTAAGTGCACCACTCACCTTTTCCCCTCATCAATTCTATGATTCACCTCATCCTTCATAGACCCATCCGCTGACACGTCCACTCCGAAATATCTGAATACATTCACCTCCTCCATACCCTCTCCCTCCAATCTGATATCCAATCTTTCATCACCTAATATTTTTGTTATCCTCATAACCTTACTCTTTCCTGTATTCACTTTTAATTTTCTTCTTTTGCACACCCTACCAAATTCATCCACCAATCTCTGCAACTTCTCTTCAGAATCTCCCAAGAGCACAGTGTCATCAGCAAAGAGCAACTGTGACAACTCCCACTTTATGTGTGATTCCTTATCTTTTAACTCCACGCCTCTTGTCAAGACCCTCGCATTTACTTCCTTACAACCCCATCTATAAATATATTAAAGAACCACGGTGACATCACACATCCCTGTCTAAGGCCTACTTTTACTGGGAAATATTTCCCTCTTTCCTATGTACTCTAACTTGAGCCTCACTATCCTCGTAAAAACTCTTCACTGCTTTCAGTAACCTACTCCTACACCATACACCTGCAACATCTGCCACATTGCCCCCCTATCCACCCTGTTCATAGCCTTTTCCAAATCCATAAATGCCAAAGACCTCTTTAGCCTTATCTAAATACTGTTCACTTATATGTTTCACTGTAAACACCTGGTCCACACACCCCTACCTTTCCTAAAGCCTCCTTGTTCATTCTGCTATCCTATTCTCAGTCTTACTTTTAATTCTTTCAATAATAACTACCATACACTTTACCAGGTATACTCAACAGACTTATCCCCCTATAATTTTTGCACTCTCTTTTGTCCCCTTTGCCTTTATACAAGGAACTATGCATGCTCTCTGCCAATCCCTAGGTACCTTACCCTCTTCCATACATTTATTAAATAATTGCACCAACCACTCCAAAACTATATCCCCACCTGCTTTTAACATTTCTATCTTTATCCCATCAATCCCGGCTGCCTTACCCCCTTTCATTTTACCTACTGCCTCACGAACTTCCCCCACACTCACAACTGGCTCTTCCTCACTCCTACAAGATGTTATTCCTCCTTGCCCTATACACGAAATCACAGCTTCCCTATCTTCATCAACATTTAACAATTCCTCAAAATATTCCCTCCATCTTCCCAATACCTCTAACTCTCCATTTAATAACTCTCCTCTCCTATTTTTAACTGACAAATCCATTTGTCCTCTAGGCTTCCTTAACTTGTTAATCTCACTCCAAAACTTTTTCTTATTTTCA